AGGGGGAGGACTTTGGGGATGCTGAGTTGGGGGCTCCTGTGGGGCCATTTAGAAGGTGCCCATCAAGGGATTTGGGTGCATGAGTTTGCACTCTAGGAGAACTTTGAAATGAGATACAGATTTGAGAGTCAGCAGCATATAGATGATGTACCCGCAGCCTGACTTGGTTTGAGAGTGAGCTAAGTGAGGAGCCAAAAAAAAAAAAAAAAAAAAAAAAAAAGACAGAAGAATAGCCTGTAGAGGAGCCTGAGAAGCAGTCAGAGAGCAGGAGGAGGATGAGAGCTAGCTGGGTGTCTCAGAAGTGGAGGGTCTCTTCCTGTGTTTGTCTCCTCCCCAGGGGTGGGAGTGTGACCTGGGGGAGTAAGAAATAAGCAATAAGCATCCTTTGGCTAATGGTTAAATCTTTCCAGCTATTCAAGCCCTAAGTCTAGAGAAGTCTTCGACAGTTTGGAAACTACCTGTCTCAGACTAGTAGCTGCGAACCTGGAATCAAAGCCTAGCCTTGCCCACACGTGCTGTGTGACTTGGCTAAGGTAGTGCCCCTCTATGGCCTGGATTTCCTCACTGGAAGTGAGAAGATTGGATTCATAATACCTAGGACCCTTCAGGGAAATGGGCTCTTAGAAATAATGGGAAAATTGGAGGCAGAGTTCATGCTGCAACATCTGGAAAATGACTCTGCTCTCCCCACAATGATGAAGATGTGTCCTTGCTGACACGGAGTTTGGCTCAGGTACTGGGAAGCGTGGAAGTTTGCTAACATTCACTCTTCTTTAAACAAATATTCATGGATTGGTATGTAAGTCTTACAAAATAGTGAGTCCAGCCAATGCTGAAACAAAAATTGAGCTTCTTGGATCTGCTGGCATCCCATCCTGACCTGTGGGCCTCTACCAGGGACTTTGTGAGCCAAAGGAGAACATTCCAAAATGGGGCCCCTCTGCTTTGGCCTTGTGGTCCCCTTCACTCTAGTAAGTGGTTATATGTATGGCTACTTAGACAAGGAACTTAACTGACCCTTCGTGTGGGTGTGTGAGCGTGTTGAGTGTACGGGTATGTGAGTGTGTGTGGAGGGGCTTTTCCTACCCACTACAACCCGCCTGAAAGACTGCGGGTTCCCTTTGATTCAAAACTATGGAATTTCAGGTAAAATTAAGAATCAAGGAACCCACATAGAATCTGAATTCTATAGAATCTGAACCCACAGAGGACTTAAAAGTGCACTGTAAGATTTTCTCTTGCAACCCTCAAGCCTTAATTTGGACCAGTTATTATTTTTAAGATATTTTAAAAATATTTTTGTTTTGAAATAGTTACAGAATCACATGCAGTTGGAAGAAACAGTGCAGGGAACTCCCTTATGTCCTTCACCCATTGTCTCCTCATGATCATACCTAGCATAACTGTAAAACAATATCATAACCAAAAAGTTAGTATTTGTACAAATCCTTACCTTATTCGGATTTCATCAGTTTTACCAGCACTGGTGTGTGTGTACATTTTTTTTCTCTGCAGTTTTAACCCATGTAGATTTATGTGACTATTGCCACAATACAGAACGGTTTCATCACAAAGTCTGTAACTCCCTTCTACCAACCTAACTCCTGGAAAGCACCAATCTGTCCTCTATGTCTATAATTGTGTCATTTCAGGAATGTTCTACAGATGGAATCATGGAGTATGTAACCTCTTGAGATTGGATTTTTTTCATCCAGTTTAATTCCTTCAAGATATATCCAAATTGTGTGTCTCCAAGCCTTTGTTCCATTGTAGTGCTGAGTAGCATTCCACAGTATTTACCGGCTTGTTTAACCATTCACTCACTGAGGGATGTTTGGGTTGTTCCAGGGTTTTGCTGTTATGAGCAAAGTTCTATAAACATTTTACTATAGGCCTTTGTGCAAACACAGGTCTTCATTTCTCTGGGATAAATGTCAAGAGATGCAATTGCTGGGTCATATGGCCGTTGCATGTTTCATATTTTAAAGAAACTATCATACTGCTTGCTTCCCATAGTGGCTGTACCATTTTGCATTCTCAGCAACAGTGTTAATGGTGACCAACTTTACCACATCCGTGGGTGCTGCTGCTGCCTTTAATTGCATTCGTTCTGCTAGGCCGAGTATCTCATTGCAGGAGTATCTCATTGCAGCCTTAACTTGCCATTCCCTGATGGCTAAGGACGTTGAACATCTTTTCCTGTGCTTGTTGGTCATCTGTACATCCTCCTCACTGAGATGAAACTTCATGTTTGCTTGTTTTCTCATTGTTGTCTTTTTATTGTTGAGTTTTGAGAGATCTTTGTGTATTCTGGGTCTGAGTACTTTGCCTTACAAAGATTTCCCTCCACGCTAGAGCTCATCTTTTCATTGTCTTGGAAGGTTTCTCTCAGAGGAAAAGTCTTTAATTTTGAAGGAGGTCCAGTTTTGCAGTCTCCTCTTGTATGAATCGGTGTCCTTACTGTGATCTCCTTGCCCAATATTTTCTCCTATGATTTTTTATTCTTTTATTCTAAAAGTTTTATAGTTTTGGGGGCACCTGGGTGATTCAGTTGATTAAGCATCTGCCTTTGGCTCAAGTCATGATCTCAGGATCCTGGGACTGAGCCCCAAGTAGGGCTCCCTGCCCAGCCGAAAGCTGCTTCTCCCTGTCCCTCTGCCCCTCCCCTGCTCGTGCACATTCTCTCTCTCTCTCTCTCTCTCATAAATAAATAAAATATTAAAAATGGTATATTTTTACATTTAGGTCTGTGATCCATCCTGAGTCAGTACTTGCGCAAGATGTGAAGTTTAGATTGAGGCTCTTGTCTTTCATCAGCATTTTGCAGTTTTCCCAATACAGATCCTGCACCTGTTCCGTTAGGCATATGCCTAAGGATTTCTTTTTCTTTAGAATAATTCCAGTTGGTATTATTTTTTAATTAATGAGTATTCTCTCAGACACCTCCTTGTCACACATACAAAACAACAAAAGCCCACAACTAAATAAACAAAGAAATGTAGGGTTGAAAACAGACCTCAAAGCAATCCAATTGTAGTTGATGCTCTGTTGAATAATCTGCCATCCAGTGTGAAGGAGCTGTAACCCAGGGGGCTACTAATGAGGCTGGCCACCCGCCGGGAGCACACTTCACTGAGGAGCACTTGTTCTTAGAGCCTTTGACTTGATATCTGACCTGAATCACCTGCAGCTAGTTTTTCAATTCTCTGAGGTTTAATTCCTTCTTATTCTAAAATGAACATAAATAACCATGCTTGCTTTAGAAATAATGCCAAGAAGATGCAGTTAGATCAAATGAAAGAATATATGCCAAAGTGTTGGGCATATAGTAAATGATCAAGAAATAATTCCTTCCTCCCTTTTTATTTCCTTCTCTTTCCTTCCTTTCCCTTCCTTTCTCTTTCCTTCCATCCCTGCTTTATGCCACCTTACTGCTTCTCTGTGGTGGGCGGGGGCGTTGCCTCTGGTAGGGTTGCTACTCTACCCTGGCTTGACAAGATGACTAGGAGGCTGACCCCTGTGCCCAGCTAGTCCACCACAACTCCTTCTCCTCCACCAGGCAGCATTCTGCTGGATATTGGAACAGTGAGGATTAGTAAATAGTGAAGTCTGTTTCTTCTGTTTAAAATCATAATGCTAAGCAGTTCGGTGAATTTTCATGAGTGATGATGAGCCACCTTTCTGTGTTTTTGTAAAAGGCAGGTTGTCTGGGATCCCTGGGTGGCTCAGCGGTTTAGCGCCTGCCTTTGGTCCAGGGTGTGATCCTGGACTCCTGGGATCGAGTCCCACGTCGGGCTCCCTGCGTGGAGCCTGCTTCTCCCTCTGCCTGTGTCTCTGCCTCTCTCTCTCTCTCTCTCTCTCTCTCTCTCTCTCTCCCTGTATGTGTGTGTCTCTCATGAATAAATAAAATCTTAAAAAAAAAAAAGGCAGTTGTCTATGGTGGCTAATTGGCCTGGGTGGGGGCAGACCTGGAAATGCCTTTAACAAGCAACTGAAGCCTCTCAGGTCTTATTTGCTTTGACTGTGGGCTTTAGTAGAACACAGAATGGTACAGAAGCAAGTTCATAGTTTCACATAGAGATTGTCCTGAACTCCTTGGACTGAGGCCGGAGTGGTAGACTTAGATTAGCATAGGCCAGTGAAGGTGGTCATTCTCCAGGTAGAACCCACCCTGTGTGAGGGACAGCTCCACAGAGAGACTCAAAGAAATAGGCCAAGTGAAAGGGATGTCTCCTTTAGAAATTCAAATAAAGCTGGAGGCCCTCCTAGAATGGGAGCCCCCTCCTCCTCCTTTTGACAAGTGTTCATCCAGTTAATTTGGAACAAGTCCTCTCCTCCCATCCCCAGTAGTCACCAAGTGGGTGACTCAGAAGCCCTGGAAGTTGCAGGCTGGGGGCACCCCCTTCAGCATCCTAATTGTTGTCAGATAGCCAGTGATCCTAACGGGTTAGAAGCCTGGAGAGATTATGTCATCCTCTGCCCTTCACCCACAAATGTGAGACCAAAATGGAAACCAAAGGGCAAGGAAACATTGAGTGCAACCCCAGCCTTGTAGGAGTTCTCATGTAAGGAAGAACCTTGTTGAAAATCTTTTTTTTTCTTTCTTTCTTTCTTTCTTTCTTTCTTTCTTTTTTTTTTTTTTTTTTGCATTAGAAATAAAAATGCCTCTTTACTAGCTTAGGAAGCAGAAAGCTGCTAGAGATGGAACTTCAAACAGCTCTTAGTCTTGGCCAGTGTATTTTTCATTTTTCTTCAAGGACTATTTGCTCCAGTGAAAATTGATGTCCTGCACTTCTGCCCTTCAGGTTCTTTTAATAAATGTCATGAGAGTAATGGTGTTGAGAGCAGGGAGTAAGTTGGCCTTTGCCAAACTTCAGCCAAATGGATGTCTGAGGTGCCCACCCAGAGCTCATCCTGCTGGGCTGCTTCCAGGGACTTATGTGATGAGCTCTGAGCACAGGAAACTCACCCGTGCCCGTCTCTTCCTCTTCTTTCTCTAGCAAGGATTGAAAATAGTTCACCATGCAGAGAAGACACTGTCCAGCTTCTGTAAGTGGCAGAAGAGCATCAATCCGAAGAGTGACCTCAACCCTGCCCATCATGATGTGGCTGTCCTCCTCACCAGGTACCCCGGGACTACATGGAAGCCAGGGGCTGCAAGGCACGGGGGCGGGCCGGTCAAAGAGTTATCAGGTATTCGAACTGATGCAAGTCTCCTACTCTTTGCTGCTCTCCATCATTTTTTTTTTAAGATTTTGTTTATTTACTCATGAGAAACAAAGAGACAGGCAGAGACACAGGCGGAGGGAGAAGCAGGCTCCATGCAGGGAGCCCGACATGGGACTCGATCCCAGGTCTCCAGGATCAGGCCCTGGGCTGAAGATGGCACTAAACCACTGAGCCACCCAGGCTGCCTGCTCTTGGTCATTTAAAAAGGCAGCTTCTATGATTCAGACAACTCCTGAAGCCCATACCAGTGAGGGGGCAGTTACTACACATGTGGAGCAAAACTCTCCATGTTACTAAACTGCATCTGCTGGCAAAATGCAGGCCTTTTTCCTATCCCAATGATGATTTCATCTTTAAAATTGGCTTTTTCATGCAGCTCTGTAAACAATCAGGAAGATTGTTTGCAGATCCTCATTAAAGACTCTGGTAACTCTTAAGCATGGGGTTTCTGATCCTTTGATTTGTTTTTAAAATTTTTTTCTCCAGTTTAGAAACATGAAACTATCTCTACAGAAGTCAGTCCTCCTTGTAACCCATCCCTGACTGATATTGAGAACAGAATATAGGCAGCAGCCCACCCCCCAACCCTGACCACTGAATAGGCAAAGGTGTTTGGTTACACTTGTCTCCCTTCACCCTCATGAAGATAATATTTTGTTCTGACTACAAATAGACCCTATGGCACTAATAAAAACCATCAACTTTCTAGGCCTCATAGCTATGAAAGGCTAATAAACTTTTCTGATCAACTCAGGCTCTTGGAGGCTATGTTTTCTCATTGATTCAATAAATGAATCAGTATTAATTGAATACCTGCTATGTATCAGACAGTAGTTTAATTTAGACAAATGAAGGTCTTTCATTCATAGGGGAGGTAAGTTCTCATGGGGCACTCCTGTGCAGATTTGGAGACATCAAGAAATCCAGGGATATGTAATAGAAAAGGCTGCTTGACCTGGCCTTTCAGCCACCGAGAGCCTCATGCACTGGAAGGCTCTGTGTGTTTGTCTTCCCCGGGGAGAACAGGCTGCCCCTGAACATTTTAGCCTGTCATCTGTCCCTTTGGTATCCCAGTGCATGGGATGCCTGCAAAGGATGATAATCAGCCTTCATTCCAGACAACAGAATCACTCTTTGGAATGAGAGTATCAAAACTTTGATTGAATGCAGACAATCTCCAAAGGAAGTCTGTGACACAAACCTATAACATTAGGTTCGTATTAGGACCTGTGTCATTAGTAGCTCCACTGGGAGGTAGGTTGCTGTGAGTGTAGAATGTAAGCACAGGGGTTCTGAGGAGCCAGCAAGCAGGCAGGAAACACTGAGATCCTGGGCAATAAGCCACAGAGAGACTTCAGTCCAGGCAGGATATATCTGTAGGGAAGAACCCCAGATCTGGGACCTCCATTGGAAGCTGCATCAGCTCCATCTCTTTTCTGAAAACAGAAATCGTTTCTTATGTTATTCTCACATGAAGAAAGGGGTGAGTTCATGATAGCTGGCATTTGTGGAGTGTTTTATGTAGCACTGTGCTACATTTATTAGAATAGTCATTAATCTCCACAACAACCCTGCTAGCTAACTGCTATCAATCATTCCTGTTTTGCAGATGGAAAAACTGAGGCTTGGTTATGTCACTTGCCCCAAATCTCATTGCTGTTCAGGTACACCTGGGACTTAAATCCAGGCAGTTGGGCCCTAATAGTTATACTCTCAACTAACACCCATAAGGATATGAAAGATCTGTTCTTTTATTATTATAATTATTCTCTTATTATAACTTTTCTCCCTTGGAACAAAAGTCTGGTTTCAGTGTATGATGAAACTCACCAACTCTTAAACAGTGGCAAGTATTTCAAATTCTAAAACAGAATTTCTCACCCTTGGTATAACTGACATTTTGGGTTGCTTAATTCTTTCCTTTGAAGGGCTATCCCATGCATGGACATATATTTAATCTATCCACGAGATGCCAACAGCACCCTTCTTCAAGTGTGATAACCAAAAGCTGTCTCCAGAGATGGCCAGATATCCTCTAGGAATGGGTGGGGAGCAAAATAAACCCCTGTTGAGAACCTCTGGTCTGAAAAAAACAGGCAAGACCAGGGAGGGAAGTGTATGACTTGTCCCTGGAGGACTGGGTTGAGATCCATGTCAAAAGGGTTCTCTGCAGAATTGCATTGAGGGAAAGGTGGATTTGTCTTGAACATGCCTCATGAAGTGGGACTTGTACCTGCATGCCACGGCATGTTTTCTCTTTCACTACTCCCAGTGCATGCTAGAGGTAGAGCCAATATGCTTTGGGGAGCAGAAGCTCTTGGCCTGGAAGACTCATATTCCTACATTTCTCTTATTACCACCTTTTTTCCACTGTAGTGCTAGATACTTAATAGGCACTCAGTAGACAATGATTTAATGGACCTGACTCCTTTCCTATCAGAATGAGAAATCCAGTGAGTAAGCAGTAGACACTAATCTCTTCTCAGCAGCTCTATACAGGACTGTACTTTTTTAAAAAAAGGAGCTAGTGACAAGTACATTTGTAATAGGGGTGGAAAAGTGTTTGGCTGGTCCTCTGACAGACCAAGCAATTATTTAGAATGATTGGGCTGTATGATTCGCTCTAGCTCTCCAATACAAAACCACCCAACAACTATTGCTATTAGAATGGAGATCAAATCAGTTGGCATGTCCTGAGATGGGAGCTGCCTCTCTTTCCTATCCTATTGTCCCAGTAATTGTCTCCTGCAGAACTGAGGACTCACAGGATTTTTCAGAGCCTGGGTCTTTTCCATGGCCCAGTGGAAACAAAAAACAGACCATTCATTGCCAGGAATGATACCCACACAAGCCCAATGAGTTGAAGGTCTATAACTAACTGAAGCTCAGAACCTTATTGGCATTTGTGCAGCTATTCTTGGCAAAGAGTTCTTCTTGTATTGAAGAAAACCATAGGACTGAAATAATTCCTACAAAGATATGGGAGCACATTTTTACATTTAAAGACTATAATCAAATTTTTTAAGATGCTAGGAGTCATTATTTGTATATGCATTCCCTCCCTTATGCCATCTTGTTTGGGTAAAGGGACTGGAAAGACCACTGATTTGAGCTCTGGGTGGATTAATGAGACCAATTGCCTTTTTTGTGAATAAGCAAAAGTTCTCAGATGAATTTTGAGCACAGACCTCAGAAAGACCAAAAAAGGGGTTTCATATTTGAAACCTTTCAGCCACGACTGGTTGTCCTTTCTTTACTTAAAAGTTCAAATAATCTCAAATTTTCAATTAAATCCTTCTCTTTTGGGCAAAACAATGTAATTTGGCCTCCTGAGATTAAAGGCAAAAAGCAGCTCAACTCAAAATAAAACATTTGTCATATCTTCCTTTATTGTTTAGGTGTTTGTAAGATTCGGTAATTAAGAGGTGAAATCAAAATTAAAAATTCAGAATTGCAACCTATATTCATGTGGACTTTTAAAAACAATATTAATTATGCTCCCCAGCCCACATTGAATGTGAATTAATACCAAGATTTTTTCCAGGATTTTTTCAGATGTTTCTTTGGAAGCCTATGCATCTCTGTTCTCTGCTTTCAGAAAAGACATCTGTGCTGGTGTCAATCGCCCCTGTGAGACTCTAGGTCTGTCTCACCTGTCAGGAATGTGCCAGCCTCACCGGAGTTGTAACATCAATGAAGACTCTGGACTCCCTCTGGCTTTCACAATTGCCCATGAGCTCGGACACAGGTAAAGGGTCAAGGAAACTGAGATCTCCTTGCCATGTTCACATACTATGTCAGTAGAGACAGGGGAAAGCACCCTACGTGGGGAATCAGGAGTCAGGTGCATTGTGTCTTGACTCACCTTCCTAAACCTCTGCTACCTCATCTGTAAAGTGAGGATAATCACATACATCAAAAATTTCAGGTCTTTTGTTCCCTGACCGCATGTACCTATCTATAAGACAGAATCAAAGAGGCTACTACAATTCTCTGGATTAGAATGAGTTGAGAACAAAGACATAAGCTTTAACTCACTTGATTAATTCAGAAGTAACAATTCCTGTTTAGTTATTATGGAATAGTAATAATATTAATGTCACCAAAAAGTCACAAACATTAACATTTTTGCACCTTTATGTCATACACTTTGTCTTGTGTCATTGAATCCTCTCAACAATCTTGTGAAATAGATACTATTGTTAGTCCCACTTTACTTAAATGGATTACAGGAACATATCGAATAAAGCAGAAATTTAAAACTACAATAAATGGGAAAAGACCATCAAGCAAAGGTCAGTTAACAGGAGGTGCAATTTGTCTCAAAAATGTATGAATTTGATTGGATAAATTCACTAAAAGCAGGTTGCAGTGAAGAGATGATGAGGTTTCTGGATTTTCCAAGTAAAGAGAAAAGATGTTAGCTTATTTGTAACTTAATTTGTTGATATATACACTAACCACAAATAAGAGAAGATCATGCTAATTGGGGAGCCATGTGAATGACTCAGCTATACCCCTTCCCTGTTATATAGCCACCCGCCTGGGTCTCCTCCTTTGAAGGAAGGAAGCAGAACCCTGTGGCATTCTTTGAGTGTGCAGCCTGAAAAGAAGAGGGATTGGGAAGAGCCATGGAGACTGGATATTCCAAACTAGAACAAATAAGCTCACAAGGTACAATATAATCATACAAAATCAATCACATTTTTATAAACTGGCAACGAGCAGGTGAACACTGAATTGAAAAATGTAGTACCTTTCATGATGACTCCAAAGTATGATGAAATATTTACATATAATTATTATATACTTTTAAATCTAACAAAAGTGTACAGGACATACTGTAGGCTCTAAATTACACAACACTGAGAAAAGAATCAGAGATTTAAATAAATGGAGAAACATACTATGTTCATGAATTGGAAGACTCAACAATGGTAAAAATGGAATTCTCCTGCAATAAATATATAGGCTTAATGATATTTCTACCAAAATTCCAGCAAGATTCTTTTTGAAATATAGACAAACTATTCTAAAATGTATATAGAAAGTCAAAGGAACTAGAGTAAGTTTTCCAGACAATTTGAAAAAGAATAATGGAAAGAATCAGTCTATGATATTTCAAAATACGACCTTCAGTAATCAAGATTGTGTGGTTTGGGTGGAGGGAAAGACACGAAGATCAATGGAATCAACCAGAGAATGCAAAAATAGTGCAAAACAAATATATCCAACTGATTTCTTGACAAAAATATGGAAGCAATTCAATAGAGGAAAGGGTCAGGAAAGGGTCCTGAAGCAATTGGACATCCCTAGGCAAAAATTTTAAATATATAAAAAGAACCTCTACTTAAGTCTTGTATCATATGCAAAAATTATCTTAAAGTAGAACATAAACTTAATGTAAAATTTTGAACTAAAAAACCTTTAGGACATAAATAGAAAATTTTCAATATCTAGGGCCAGCCAAAGAGTTTCTAAACTTGACATCAAACGTGCAGTCCATAAATGGAAACACTTAAATATTGGGCTCATCAAAATTTAAAAACTTCTGACTCTTTTAAGAGGTTGAAAAGACAAGCCACATAGCCTAAGATAAAATATTCGCAAACCCTGTGTAGTGGCTTGAACAGTGTCTCCCTTCCCTTCAAGGCTACTTGGAACTTCAGGATGTTACTTGTTTTGGAACTAGGGTCTCTGCAGATGTTGTCAGTTAATAATTGAGATGAAATCACACTAGATTCAGGTTGGGCCATAAACTCAATGACTGGAAAGGGAGATTTGGACACAGAGATCAAATAGAAAGAGGCCATGTACAGACGGAGGCAGAAGTTAGTCTTGCTCCCACAAGTCAAGAAAGCCCGTATTTAGCAAGAGCTAGAAGAAACAAGCACAAATTCTCCCCTGGAGCCTTTAAAGTGTTCGTAGTACTGCTGACACCTTGATTTCAGATTTCTCTCCTCCAGGACTGTGAGAGAATAAGTTCCTGTTATTTTAAGCCACTGAGCTTATGGTAATTTTTATGGCAGTTCTAGGAAACTAACACCATCTATTCAATAGGACTAGCATCAAAATACATAAGCAGCTATCAAAACTCAATAGTAATAAAACAAACAGTAACTAGAACATGGGCAAAAGACATGAGGAAGGATTTCACTAAAAAGGGTATATAAATGGCAAATAAGCACTTGAAAATATATTCAACACCATTAGCTATCAGGGAAATGCAAATTAAGACCACAATGAGATATCACTACACACCAATCAGAATGACTGCATAGTGGTGTCACCAAATGCTGACAAGATTGCAGAGAAACTGGATCACTCATAGCTTGCTGGTGAGAAAGTAAAATGGTTCACTATAGAGAATAGGTTGTCAGTTTTTTAAACAGTAAACCTGCAACTGCCATGTGATCCAGAGGTTGTACTCCTGAGCATTTATCCTGGAAAAATGAAGACTTATGTTCACACAAAAACCTTTACATGAATGTTTACAGAAGCTTAATCTTAATAGCCAAAAACTAGAAACAATTCAGGGTTGTTGTCAACCCAACAGGGTGAATGTAACAGGGTTACATAAACTGGGATTGATACATATTATGGAATATTTACTAGTCAGCAATAAAAAGAAAGGGAACATTGATACACACAGCCACCTGATGAATCTTCAAACAGTTATGCTCTGTGAAAAAAAAAAGCAATCCTAAAAGGTTACATACTGTGTGATTCCATTTATATAGCATATTTGAAGTGTCAAAATTCTAGAAATGGAGAACATATTAATTAGTGGCCGCCAGGGCTTCAGGACAGAATAGGGGAGGGAAGGAAGAAAGTGTGACTGTAAGTATGACATGAGAGATCCTTGTGGTGACGACAGTATTCTGTGTCTTGACCATATCAGCATCAAAACCCTAATTGTGTTATTGGATTATAGTTTTGCGATGTGTTACCACTGGGGAGAAGGTGAGCAAAGCAGACCAGGAACCTATTCGTTTATTTCTTAAAACTGCAAGTGAACCTACAATTATTTCAAAATAAAAAGTTTAATTAAAAAAAAAAGGCATGGGGCGGGGGGCACCTGGGTGGCTCAGCGGTTGAGTGTCTGCCTTTGGCTCAGGTCATGATCCCAGGGTCCTGGATTGAGTCCTGCATCAGGCTCCCCTCAGGGAGCCTGCTTCTTCCTCTGCCTGTGTCTCTGCCTCTCTCTCTGTGTCTCTCATGAATAAATAAATAAAATCTTAAAAAAAAAATAAAAGTAAATTTTAAAAAGGCATCGGGCCATGTACAGATGATCTAAATAAAACACTGTCGTTTTTTATTAATTTTTAAAAAAAGTTTGAATATAGTTGACACACAATGTTACGTTAGTTTCAGGTATACAATATAGTGATTCAGCTTCTCCGTGTGTTATACTAGGCTCACCACAGCATAGTGTATCTGTCGCTACACAACCTTATCACAGTATCATTGACTCTTCCCTGTGTTGTGCCTTTATCCCCATGACCTGGTCCATAACTGGAAGCCTGTATCTCCCACTCCCCCTTCACCCATTTTGCCCATACACTCTTACCCTCCTCCTCTCGGCAACCACCAGTTTGTTCTCTGTGTTTACATGTTCAATTCTTTTTTTTCCCATAAGATTTTATGTATTCATTTGAGAGACAGACAGACAGACAGACAGACAGAGACAAAGCATGAGCAAGGGGAGGAGTAGAGGGAGAAACAGACTCCCTCCTGAGCCAGGAGCCCAATTCAGGGCTTGACCCCAGAACCCTGAGATCATGACCTGAGCCAGAGGCAGACAGTTAACCATTTGAGCCACCCCAGGCACCCCTGAATCTGCTTTTTATCTGTTTATTCATTTGCTTTTTTAGATTCCACATGAGTGAAATTATATTGTATTTGTCTTTCTCAGTCTGACTTACTTCACTTAGCATAATGCCCTGTAGGTTTACCCATGTTGTTGGAAATGGCAAGATTTCATCCTTTTTGTGACTGAATCTGTTGTAAATAGATACACCACATCTTCTTCATCCATTCATCTATTGATGGACACTTAGGTTGCCTCCATATCTTGGCTATTTTGTAAATGATGCTACAGTGAACATGATGGCGGTATATCTTTTGGAATTAGTGTTTTCATTTCCTTTGGGTAAATACCCAGTAGTGCAATTGCTGGATCATATGATATGTCTATTTTTAAGTTTTTGAAGCACTCTGTACTGTTTTCCACAGTGGCTATACTGATTTACATTCCCACCAACAGTGCATGAAGGTTCCTTTTTCCCTACATTCTCACCAACAGTTATTTCTTGTTTTTTTTTTTGTTTGTTTTTTGTTTTTGTTGTTGTTGTCGTTGTTTTTTTGCCATTTTGAAAGGAGTATTTCATGGTGCTTTTGATTTGCATTAAAACGCTGTCTTTTAAATGACAAGAAAAAAATTTAAGAGTCACTGATACAAAGAGAAAGTTGAAAGAACATGTAAGCTTGAGTGATGCAAAAAATCCTTTAATAAAACACAAAATCAAACCAGAGAAGACTTTAGGAACTTCTTAAGAAACTTTTGCTCATAGCAAAAGATGCTTCTGGGGTATTTAGTTCTTTCTTTAGCTGTGTAGTTCTAATTTTCTGTGGAGCAAACTGAGACACTGGAAAGATCAATGAAATGGACTGTGGCAGATAAAAAATAATAATAATCAAAGAAAAGCCAAAACTGGGATAAACCAGTGTCTCCAAAAGACTCTCATTATAGCTTAATAACATAGATACCCCATTGTTTCTTGGAAACATTGTTTGTTTCATTACAGATTATGTGTGATACAAAAAAGAAAGTAAAATTAACTAACTTGTGTTATGGCCTTATGTGAATAATTTCATTTTTGAGAGAAAACTCTTTAAAAATCCATTTATGAGGACCTCAGATTGTATCAGTCACTTGGCCTCGTACCACCTTTATGAGGCTCCTTAGGTTAAGTTACCAAAAATGAAAGAATTCCAGGAGGAAATTTACAAGCTTATCTGAGACCTAGCATCCTTTCCTTTTAAGTCATGATACAGATGAACACTCATAAAGCAATATTCACCCAGTATTTCTCTCCTGCTTCTGGATTTCATTACAGACCTTTATGTGTCACATACATGGAACTGGTATTTCCTAAATGAGTTTGGAAAGTGCACAGTCACACTCTCATGGTTTTTTTTTAAAAAAAGATTTTATTTATTTATTCATGAGAGAGACAGAGAGAGAGAGAGAGGCAGAGGGAGAAGCAGGCTCCATGCAAGGAGCCCAATATGGGACTCAGTCCCGGGTCTCCAAGATCACACCCTGGGCTGAAGGCGGCGCTAAACCACTGAGCCACCCGGGCTGCCCCACTCTCATGGTTTTTGTTCTCTGCTGTTACCTCTCCGCTGTAAAATGAATAACAAGTTATAGGAATAAAAGGTACTGCCTAAGGAATATAGTCAATGGTGTTGTAATAGCGATATGACTGGACAGATGGCAGGCAAACTTATGGGGAACGGAGCCTGATGTATATACACTTGCCCAAATCACTAAGTTGTACAGCTGCAACTACTATAACATTGTGTCAACTATATTCAGATGAAAAAAAAAAGAATAATAAAAGGCAAGTAATATCCATCAAATGATACCCTGAAACCCAGCTAAGTAATCAACTTGCTATTTCCCATCTATAATTTGGCCAACTCCTACAGGAGTTGAAAGCCAAACATGAGGTAAAGCGGGTGAATCCCAACAGCTCAGTAAGTTGTTTGGGACTGCAGAGGGCTCCAGAATCCCAGCTGCTCTTCAGCTTCCATCCTATCTGTTGGAGAGAGGCTTCCTGGAAACAAACCTTCCATCCCATGACCCCATGTACTTTCTTGGCCTTCATTTTTCATCGGTCCCCTGTGCCCATGTGACAGGAGTACTCCGCACATTTAAACGTAGTAGACGCAGTCCAGAGGGACATTGGTTAGTAGCACTGCTTTTCTCTCCTAACATGGGAGTACAGAGGGGTGATAAAGCTTGAGGGGGAAATCCTTTAATGAATTAAAAATTTTAGATAGAACAGGGGCATCCCGGTGGCTCAGTTGGTTAAGCTTCTGACTCTTGATTTTGTCTCAGGCCATGATCTCAGGATCGTGAGATCAGGCTCCATGCTCAGTGGGGAGTCTGCTTGAGATTCTCTCCCTCTCCCTCTGCCTTCCCCACCCCACCCACCCTGGGCACACACACACACTCTCTCTCTCAAATAAATAAATACATTTTAAAAAAAATACACAAGAAAAAACTTTATGTAGAACAAAATGAGCTTTGAGGGAACTGATATGTTTTGAGGGCAGGTTTGAATCTACCCAGTGTGTAGGATACAGCTGTATGGTTCTTGTATTAGACTATCTATTGCTAGAAAAACCATTATTCTTGCATAATTTTGAACCATGCTTACAGTTTAGGGTTATTACTAATTATTGCGCAGGTGAACTTATAGTCTACAAGTTCTACTTCACGAGCTGAGTAAGAATGAATTTGCAACAGCGTAAGAAAGGCCTGCTTAGAATGAAAGCTTTCATTGAATCACATTCTTTGTGGCTTAGTGTTAAGAGTAGTTTTTGTACATTAATTATCTGATTCCTTTGTGAATTTTGTACTTAAGTGGGCCGTGATCAGAATCTGTAAGCTGATAAGATCATAATGGCTTAAGCAAAATACAAGAAATTTCTAAATCCCCCAAAGACCATTCTCTGTAAGAGTTGCTAATGTTGATCTGGAGATTTTGTTAAGGTTACATATGAGCTTCCCTGGCAGAGGAGTTGAATTTCACTAGTGGAGTAAAAGGTCATGCTTCCCTCTGTTCAGATTTGGAAATCTGAGCCAACAGCTCTGGGCTGCAAGTATGCCATAAGCAGAGTCCAGTGAAAAGAGATCTTGTGGGGGTTCTGAAGGCATCTTGGGGTGATCCTGAGGACTCAGCTTATAAGCAGACGCTTCTGAGTCTGCTTCCTTCCCAGGCACCCCTTGCCATGGTGGATAAACTCTGTTGGGGTGTTCAGGGCTGCTTCACCTGGTCAGCCTGGAAGTAGGAGGCCAGAGAGCAGAAGCGCACTGAGCAAGACCTGGGTAAGGGCACTGATGTAGCAGCACAAACAGCGGAAAACCTGGTTTTAGCACTAAGTAGCTGTGTGATTTTTGAGAATAGGCTAGATAAGGATAAAAGCAGCAATAAAGGATTTCAGTCATTCACAGAGCCCTTCTTAGCAGCCAGGCCCTTGCTAAGTGGTTTTCAGACTCTCCCTTCACATCTGACCCTAGCACTGTGGTGACTGCATTTTCCAGGAGAGGAACTCCCAGGTCATTAAGTGGTGGAGATGGAATACCGTCCAGATCATCTGCCTTCAAAACCCCGCTCTAACCACTGAACTGTGTGAGGTCTCCCCAGCTACTGGAGGATGCTCATGACAAGACTCCAAAGAAATTCAATCACTCAAAGCTTATGGCTTTTGACAAAGTCTCGCATAGGTTTTCTCTTTCATGTCTTCCTTAAATGACAATGAAAAGGGAAAAGGAAGGTTTGGGTTTCTTGTGCTGTGGTTGGTAAAGCAGGAGGAAGAAGATCTCTTGAGGCAGGATTTGCCCTCCTTACTCCTCGGAAGTCAAACTGCCAGCTCTCAGCCAAGCAGAAGTTTTTGAATTAGCCACGTGGTTCCCACCCTTGCATATTTGAAGCCAAGCCATGCTTATAACGTCTCCTGTGCTTTTTCAAAGTTCAAGCTTAGCTCTCTCTCTCTCCAACTTCAGAGTCCCACTTTGTAAACACGTGCATTCTGTACAAAAGGGGATCTCGGTTATTTTCACCTCGGAGAAGCTCATTTGCTCCCTATTTCACGCCTGCCTCCCCAATACTCTTGTGCTTGTGCCTTCCTGCAGCTTCGGCATCCAGCACGATGGGAAAGAAAACGACTGTGAGCCCGTGGGCAGGCACCCATACATCATGTCCCGCCAGCTCCAGTACAATCCCACCCCACTGACGTGGTCCCAGTGCAGCAAGGAGTATATCACCCGCTTCCTGGAGTAAGTGACAGTGCATTTCAGGACAGCCTGGCTTGGGGGTCTTGAGACTGGAAGTCATTTGGAGTCTGACCCAAGGCCTGGGAAAGGCTCAGTTCCTCTCATAGATCATAGTAGCAGGGTGGCATCAAAAGAGCTGGATTTCACTTCCACTTTCTGACCCTGCATGTCGATGGGTCCTGCCTTCCAGCCACAGTCAGGGGAGTATCCCATCCCCTTGCTTGCTCCTGCTCGGGGAGGCTCTTTATGATCTGAGGATGCGGTAGGTCCCCCAGGAACTGGCAGAAACAGCTAGGATATGTCAGAAGTGGTCACTGAAACCCGTCTGATGATTTTATTTTACTCTCTTGCTTGATTTCCTGGCTCACAGCTGAAGTAGCAATGTGGGGGATGATTTGCATTTCCTCCTAGACTGTTCTATCCTTGGGCCTGGGGGTTTCTGTGCCTTGTGGAAATCAAGTTGTCTTGAAGGATGAAGAGTAAACTATAGGATGGAAGTTTCTGTTCAGTGAAAGACTAAAGACGAAGGAAATCATAAGCAACTGTTCTCGTTTCTGTTAACTTGTTTCAGCCGGGGCTGGGGGTTCTGTCTTGATGACACCCCCCAAAAGAAAGGCTTGAAGTCCAAAGTCATTGCCCCTGGAGTGATCTACGATGTTCACCATCAATGCCAGCTGCAGTATGGCCCCAATGCCACCTTCTGCCAGGAAGTAGAAGTAAGTGTTGGGTATGTCAGTGCCTCTGGTGGGTATGGGTTGGGCTTGAGATCTCCAGCATGCTGAAGGAAGGGCCAGGGAACTATCTGGTGATCCAAGGAGCCAGACACAGAAATGGAAACCTTCCATTCATGGCAAGGTGTTTGCAAGGCAGCAGGTGTGAAGTTGAAGTTTACATTCCTTGACCCCACCTCCTTGGTATCCTATGGAGACAGCAATCCTTTGCAAGTGGGTGGTGGTGAAGAAAATGCTGTAGTGATTTTCAGAATCATAGTGACTCACACCTGTAGACTCCATAGGAACCTAAAGTTGCTCCCTTTCCTCAGTTTCCCATCTGATTATAGAGAACCCTCAGATCCCAAGTAGGAATGAGATTCATCCCAGTTCATTCTTCTCCTTAATTTTCAATGTCCGAATGTTTTTTCAAAAGATTTTATCTATTTATTTGAGAGAGAGAGAGAGAGAGAGAGAGAGAGAGCAGGGGGGAGAGCAAAGGAAGAGGGATAAGCAGACTCTGTGCCAAGCACAGAGTCCAACAAAGGGCTCAACCACCCTGAGATCTTGGCTTGAGCTAAATCAAGAGTCAGACGCCTAACTGACTGAGCCACGCAAGAGCCCCTCAATATCCAGATGTTAGGTCAGGCCCTGACATTTAACCTCTTAAGGAGTTTATGGCTCTCCCCTGTTGTGTTCATTCCTACTGTACTGTCTTGATTCAGTCTCTCATCTTCTCTCCTTGCAATTGTAATTACTTCCTACCTAGTGTCTCCCCATTCAAATTGTTGCTCAGGTTATTTCTTTTTTTTTTTCTTAAAGACTTTATTTATTTATTCATGAGAGACTCAGAGAGAGAGGCAGAGACACAGGCAGAAGGAGAAGCAGGAACCCTGCAGGGAGCCTGATACACGACTGGATCCCAGGGTCCTGGGATCATCACCCAATCGGAAGGCAGATGCTCAACCACTGAGCCACCCAGGTGCCCCAGTCAGGTTATTTCAAAACAACACAGGCCTAACCATGGCTCTGCTCCACTCTTAGGGTCCACAGACCACAGGATGAATTCCAACTCCTTTGTGTGGCATTCCTTTGTGATCTGAATCTTGCCTATTCTCTGAGTGCATCCCTTTCAGTGTGAAGGTACCAGTGCTAACACATAGACACGGGCAAGGCAAGACTCGTTGAACCCCTCCCGGACTGGGTGCTGAGTAAGATGAAAAAGCTAAGCCCTCAGAAATTATAGGATAAATTCTCTGACCTTGAGGAGCTTGTGCTCTGGTGGAGGAGGCAGACAGAACAACTTGAATGCAGTGAGATCAGTACAAAAAAAGACACATAGAAAGACCTCTGAGGAGAAAGTAAATAATTGTGCTTAAACACAAGGAGCAACTCTGAGGGGAGCCTGCTTCTTCCTCTACCTGTGTCTCTGCCTCTCTCTGTGTCTCTCATGAATAAATAAAATCTTTAAAAAAAAAAACACAAGGAGCAAGACTCAATAGAGAAGGTAAAGTTGGTGCAGAAATCCCTCCCCCCTCACTCCTGTTAGTTACCGAGTCATGCCAGTCCTACCTCTGAATAGCTGGAAAATGCACCTAGTCCTAGGTGACTGCGCTAGTTCTCCAATTGGTCTCCTTTCCTGGAGTTTGACTCCCTCTCTCAATTCTGACCCATCCCTCAAAATGCAGCCCAAGTGACCTCTATAAATGGAAATTGGATTGTGTTCCTCTCTGATTAAAATATTTCAGTCTCCCCATTCCCTATGATAAAGTTTAAATTCTCTAAAATGGCTTGAAATGGGTGCTAGGATTCATCCCAGTTCTTGTTCTCTAGCCTTATCTCTTAAAATATTGTTTTAATTCTCCATTCTGTAACACAGAATTTTAACCGCTTATATGTTGGGCTTTATCATTAATCTTCCATGTCTTGGGACCTCGCCTTCCATTTTTTCTCTTTATGTCTCTCTTCAGATACATCTACTCTTCTATTTAACCTGTTGACCTTTTAATGTCATTTATGGTTTTGTTTTTTGTTTTACTTATGACAGTCCATTTGTTTATTTTTCTAAATTTTATCTGTTATGGTTTTTTGTTTCTAACTCACACTTACAATATGATCTCTTATTTTTAAATCATATTTGAGACATTTATTTTGCAATTTATGTTACATAATTCCAATATCCAAAGTCTATGTGATCCATTCTTCCTATTTGGGATTTTTTCCAGGTCTCACTTATTATAGATTATTTCCTTGTCTTGATTTTTGTTTTTATTGTGAGCTCTTGATTGTGAACTTCCTATCAGGTTTTTTCTTTTATTTTTTAAGATTATTTATTCATTTATTTATTCATAAGGGACACAGAGAGAGAGAGGCAGAGACATAGGCAGAGAGAAAAGCAGGCTCCCCAATGGGAGCCTGATGCAGGACTTGATCCCAGGACCCTGGGATCATGACTTGAACAAAGGCAGACACTCAACCACTGAGACACCGGGGCATCCCCTATCAGGTTACTCTTTATGGCTTAGATGGTTGACACGTTCTGAGAATGTGGGTCAATAAAAACAAATTATTGGTTGGATGTTGTTTGACTACATGAGTTGTGTGGGGGCCAATGTAGGTACAGACTCTCAGAGGTAACATTTACCACTCCTTCAAGAGTTAAGTCAAAACAGACAAGTTTTCCAGCTGTGTCTCCAGGTTTCTTTTAGTTCACCCTTTCACACAATGGCTAGTCCTTTGGAGTTACGGTCTTCATGAGGTCTCCAGTCCAACTTTCCACACTACAGAGGCCCAGGTCATTGTTCCCAGTATTCAGGTGACCATTAAAACTAAAATCTAAGTGACCAGGTTTGTATCTCTAGATCTCCAACATTTCTGGTACGTTCTTAGCCTCTGGGGATTTCTCTTACTTTCTTGCCAGCTCAGGAATGCATTTAAAACATTTTAAATATTTCATCTACAATTTTAGATGTTTTTAAAAGGTAAGGATTTTTTCAGGGTATCCTTTGGTGTACTGAAAACAGACCACTCTGGCTATCTCTGGTCAATTACTGTTTCATATTCTGTATTTATCCATATACTGAACAACCTAAATCCTTCAAAGTGTTGTGGGTTCTCCACCACCTCCAGAGCTTTGCATGCTCTGGTTCCTCTACACCATCCCTACTGTTCATTATTTGGGGCTCAGATTAAATATCATTTCACATTCTAGTCTATATTTTCTTGGACAAAGACTTTATTAGACAATATTATAGTTGCTTCCTATTTAAACCCTCCCCTACTTTATGTAAGTAAAGTGGGAGAGAACTTTTATTCCTGACATTCAGCAGGGCTTTGCATGTAGATTAAATAGATAATAGAATGAAGACTTGAGACAAATGAATGAAGACTTTAGATTCCTGCCTGCATATCACAGCCAGGATAACCTAATCCTTTTTGGTATTAAAATAAATAAATAAATACTTTAAAAAAAAGAATATAGCATCAACTTTCTTTGTTAAAACCTTTTTTTATCTTGAAATAGTTTATAGTTTATAACTCAAAAAATGTTAGAAATATAACAAAGAGAGTTTTTGTGTACCCTTTACTGAGCACATCATCCTTTATAAATGCATAATGAACTTATAAGAAAGTCTGAAAAAAATCATCAGGGGGAAAAAGCTAAAAAAAGGGAGTGATGAGCACATTGAGGCAGACGCAGAGAGAACCAAAGGGCCATGACTTTAACATCCAGTGGCAACAGATGGTGATGTGTGCACCTGGAGCAGGGCAGAGAGCTGAAGTGAGGCCCTTACAGGAAGCTGGGGGCCTTGTGGAGCTTAATGAGAAGGAGGCTAGAAGAACTACCGGCAATAAAGATGCCACAGAAGCGTTTTTCTGTTTTGTTTTGTTTTGTTTTGTTTTTTTTTTATCTCAGCTAAGGCTTTGAGGGGGAGAAATGCTAGTGGAGAACATTATCACTAGAAAATACTTTACCACAGCAAGCCTCACACTGATTGAGTTCAAATTTAGACTCTTGTATAGTTGTAATGGAGGATAGTGGGAAGAAAGGCAGACAGAGGCAAGGGCTCCCCCCAACCCATTCCTAAGAGGAAACCACCCTTAAAAGGAAAAAAAAAACCACCATCCTCTGTTAGTCCACACCACCCTGAACGGAGCCCTCCACCCTTCCCCACGCGAACACCTACCTGATAGGTAGATGAGCACATGGACAAAGACCTGATTGGGTGACAGCCAATCATCTGATTGGGCTATCAGATGAAGATCGCCCACCAACAATCTCATAAAAACCCTTTGATTTAAATACCAAAATGGCAAACTTCTTGGATCCCCTCTGTCTTTGGGAGCTTTGTACTATCCCCAATATACTTCTCTTTGCTGCCCATCACCCTTCATCTGGTCTACCTCTTCATTCTTTGAGGTGGCATGGCCAAGAACCACAGGCACTAAAGGAAAAAAAAATCCTGAAACAGAGAATACTCATGCTAAAAAAAATTTAAGATAAATATATTTCTGACCTGATAGAACCATGGGATGCCTGTTAGAAACAAAGATTAAAAACCTGCCCTGGAGAAACCAATGCTCAGCTAAAGATGCACAAAAATCCAATAGATAAAGCTTCTGATTAGATGAATTCACCATTCAGCATCTAATTCAAAATTTAAAACAACCTACAGCTAAGTGAGGAGGGATAATCAACCCTCAATGACTTTGGATTAAGTGAATATTTTAGGTAAGGATAATAAAATGAATGCATAAAAGAAAAGTTACAATTTGAGAAAAGGAAAAATACACTAGAAGGTATTTGTAAGGTAGATATGAAAAACAGTTACAGCCTCTAGAAATGAAAAATAGCATCACTGATTTTAAATTCAGTGTTTGGGTTAAACAGCAGACTTGACATAGTTGAAGAAAAAAATCAGTGAACTGTATGATGGAGAGGCTGGTCTATTCCTGATAAAAATCCAGACTTTCTCAACTTTTATATACAAGAAAATTGAGAGTTTAAAAATATAAAAGTGAAGTTAAAACATGAAGAAGAGGATTGGAAGGCTCATCAGTTAAGAGTTCCAGAGGGAGAGAATAGTGGTAATCAGGGAGAGGCAAAATTTAGAGAGGTCAAGTTAGAGAATTTTCCAAAATTGTTTAAAAATATGAAATCTTATTTAAAAAAAAACATTGAATCAAGAGCACAGTTAAATGGATGGAATGATGAATGATGAGTGAATAGAAGAAAGACTAAAAGGTGGACATATTAGCAGTGGAGCCATTTCTGATGACATGTGAGAATCTTGTCAACCTTCCCTTGTTCCTACTACAGGAGGAGAAATGAATAGGAAAGACCCGTTTCACTCCCTGACAGATAAAACAGGCTGGCTACTCTGAGTCAAAAGTCAACACGCTTAGGCTGTCTGGGTGGAATAGTTCCATTTCCTTCAGTGAGCAGGCTCAAGTTATAACCACCCAACTGTTTGTAATCCAATTCCTTCATCCATAGTTTGCATTGGCCTTTGATGGCTTCAGTCACCAGTTACACTGCCTGAGGTCAGTGATGCTGTGTCACCCATATAGAAATTAATCTTGGGATCCCTGGGTGGCGCAGCGGTTTGGCGCCTGCCTTTGGCCCAGGGTGCGATCCTGGAGACCCGGGATCGAATCCCACATCGGGCTCCCGGTGCATGGAGCCTGCTTCTCCCTCTGCCTGTGTCTCTGCGCCTCTCTCTCTGTGACTATCATAAGCAAATAAAAAAAAAAAGAAATTAATCTTAACTCCTAGGAAATGTGTTTTGTCTCCTGTTTCCTTATTACTTAGTAGACCATGCCACTGTGTATGAATGACAACAAAGTCCAAATTAAGTTTGGATCAAGAGTTCTTGAATGGTCACTTTTTATCACTCAACAACAGCGCATTATTATGGGTCTGTGGATGGCCAAGTGTGTATTTCACCATCACTGTAGAAGTGCTTTTATGCAAGTTTGGAAAATACAAGAGTACAGTTTCACGTTTGTTTTCCAGAATGTCTGCCAGACCCTGTGGTGCTCAGTGAAAGGCTTTTGTCGCTCTAAGCTGGACGCTGCTGCAGATGGGACGCGATGTGGTGAGAAGAAGGTGACGTGTCAGGTTGAGGAAGGAAGGTGGGAGGGTGGTAGGCATAGGGCTCCTGGGAGGAGTGGAGAGAGGGCCCTGGAGAGCAGCTGTCTGGGTGAATGGAGGTCACACTGTCAGGCTAGCCAGGGAAAAGGATTGTATTTCCATGACGCCTTTTGAGACTTCATTGGAAACAGTGAGGAGAGAGGGCTGAGGCCCAGTTCCACAATTCACTTGCAAAACATCCTTCCCATCTTTCTTTGATGAACTTCTGCAGAATTTATGGTCAATAACATCTGCTGAGCTTATTATCAACCTTCATTTGGACTTCTTCCCCACTCCATGTTAAAAACTGAAAAGACAAACCAGTGACTTCTGCCTTCCAAAGATGTTGGATTTGGGCCACTTGTTATGTACATTCTCATCATCTGATTTAACTGTTGGAGGAAAACCAGACATCCAAGAATTCAGATGTTAGAAATACCCCAGACTGCTTGAGGACAGGGTAATGTGTGCTGCTCAACACGACCATTATGTTTGTTGTGAGCCTCAGATTTAGACACTTAGTGGATATCTTTATGCAGCTTGAGAATGGCATGATCCATCACCGAGATTATAGAACTTGGTCCCAATACATGGTGACCAGAAATAATGAGGAAAGGAGGCCGGCAGATAAAACATGCCACAATCATTGAACAACCAAGTTGCATTTTCTTTTTTTCCTTTTTTGAATGTTTACCTTCCTAATCTGACAGTTGAGGAACGATTGCCTTGAAGAGTGAGGATGGAATTGTTTCTGAGTCACATGAAGCGCTAGAACTGGAAATAATGGTTAGAGTTACAGGGAAGCAAAAATGGTTCTCGATATTAGAAAAACTCCAGCAAGTGGTTGGGGTTTTTTTTTGTGGGTTGTTTTTTTTTTTTTTTTTTTTTTTTTTGCAATGAGTGGACCCTTTGCAAGAGGATGAGTTATCTGTTGCAGCTATTCAATACCCACAGAGGCTAGAGACAAGTATTACCTCAGTGTCAGTCTGCAAAATGTTTGTTTATGGTCTGCAGCGAGATAAGGAGCTTGCAGCAGAAGGTAAATCAATGACAGTACAAAACCACTGTGTTACTAAGCAGACTGAGCCGACGTGCGTGTCATAGCAGGACTTTCTCAGTGAAGGAAGTGGTGTGTGGATTTACCTGCTGGCATGCAATGTGTCAACCACACTTGGAGTAACGGTCCTGCATTGGCTGGCTGTAACAAGGCACCATAAAGTTATCTGACGCTGTCTGATTCTAAAACCCAAGACTCTTGGGAGACATTTTTTTGTGAGCCTTTCTTTGTTCTCCATATGCTGGGTGACCATAAGAAGCCTTCTTGCTCTGGGAGAATTGGGTTTAGACTTCTAGGGATCTTGGCTGAGCTCACTCTGGGAACCTTCATGACATATGCGTCTCCTGCCTCTTCCCTCTCTAGTGGTGTATGGCTGGCAAGTGTATCACAGTGGGGAAGAAACCAGAGAGCATTCCTGGGGGCTGGGGCCGCTGGTCACCCTGGTCCCACTGTTCCAGGACCTGTGGGGCCGGAGCCCAGAGTGCAGAGAGGCTCTGCAACAATCCTGAGTAAGTCTGGCCAAAAATACTTGCCTTCCTTCCATGAACACCGGGGAGTCCAGTTTTGGATAACAGGACCTCACCAGTGACCCCAAGCCTCCTAGGAGAAATTTAATGGGTTCCTAAAGACAAAAGGGAACCATAAGGTTGTTAAAAACATGGTTCAGTTTTGTTTCATTTTGGTGTGGCATTGGATTCTTACTAGAACTTGGATAAGTAAGCCGATTCCATTTTTTTGGGAAAATAAGCAAATTTTCAAGAGTATAATCTACGTGAAAGGTCTTCAGAGACTATGCAGTTAACTCCTTCTAAATAACATGACTCTGTCAGTGAGAGATTACTTATACTTAATCTTGTAATAAGACTGTAGCTTTCTTTCAATCATAATGAACATTTAATTTTATAAAAATAATTTTCTACCCTTAAATAACTAATAAAATAGTACATTTTTAGGATAATTATTTTGAATGTTTTAGATAAGGATTTTATGAACCTTAAGCTTCCATGTTAGCCATGTAAAAGTTCTATAGAAGTTATTTCATGGGATCCCTGGGTGGCTTAGCGGTATAGCACCTGCTTTTGGCCCAGGGCATGATCCTGGAGTCCCAGGATCGAGTTCCACATTGGGCTCCCTGCATGGAGCCTGCTTCTCCCTCTGCCTGTGTCTCTGTCTCTCTCTCTCTCTCTCTCTCTCTCTCTCTCTGTGTCTCTTGTGAATAAATAAATAAAAATCTTTTTTTAAAAAAATAATTTCACAAAACTGCTTTCAATTTTTTAATCAAAGTGCTTAAGTTTTTCATTATTTTAAATTTATATAATGATACAACATATGAATTAAATTTAAATTCCCTTGCTTTCCAATTATATATGAATCTTTTTATATATATGACTTTTTTAAAAAAGATTTTGTTAGCGTGAGCATGCACATGAGTGGGGGAGGGGCATAGGGAGAGGGAGAAGCAGACTCCCCACTGAGCAGGGGTCCCAATGTGGGACCCAATCCCGGGATCCTGGGATCGTGATCTAAGCAGAAGGCAGGCACTTACCCAACTGAGCCACTCAGGCACACCCCCAAATATATATATGACATTCTTCATTATTTTCTGGTATATGAGTTCCTAAGTAAAATTTTTAACAAGTGTACATATAATGCCTCTGGTAAGTAGAAAATATGTTAAGTTTCTCTTGCCTAGATTTTTATTAGTCTGCACTGAAGTGTAAGAGTCACTTTAAAAAAAATGATAAATGTGACTATAGTCTTCTCAGTATCTCAGTTTCAAATATCACTTCTCCTTTTTATTAATTTTTACTATATGTACATACATGTATATGTGTACACTTTCATGATATATATTTAATACATGTATATAATAAATTTTTCCTAAAGAGCAAGTTAATATATATAGAGAGTTTATTTAACACAATACCGACTACATTAAATTGTCAGTATATGGTAGATAATATAATAGTTATTATGATATCTTTTCTCATTTGCCACACATGTAAGAGTACATTAGAGGACTTTCGATGAAATTGTTTTTAAATCTTACTCTCTGATAAAAGTTGCTTTTGTGTAAATAGAAGATTTCTGTGACTTCAAAAATTAGAAGGATTTCTTATTTTTTACAGAAAATCTTCATTTTATGGTTTATTTCAATGTGATCAAAAATATGATTTGCATTTTAGAGATCATAAAATGTAGGTGATTTGCTCTGGGACCTATTGTAGTGCTCTGCATTCAACCACCACCTGTCTGGAGCCTCTTGGGAGGATGATCTGTGATCTGTGGTTGTCAGAAAGGGACATCTTTGTTGAGGAACTGTAGGATGAATCTCTAACTTGGCTTTATGGGAAGGTTGACCTTTTTTTGGACTCTGTCCTCCCTGCAAATGATGTTGAGCACATGGTATTGGGTACATAAATATTTGCTGATGTTTTTTTACAATAATCTAACAATGCTATCATTTACTAAGCTCTTCCTTGTGTTAGCTACTCTACTAAATCTTAGTGTGCATTTTCTCATTCAGTCCTCCCATCTTGTGAGATAAGAACTATTATGCTCATCTCACAAGTGAAAAAAAATTGTGGCCCAGAGAACTAAGATAACTTGTTCAAAATCATCCAACTAATAATACAAAGTAAATCAGAATTCAAACCTCAAGCTATTTGACCCCATTATGCTGCACTACAATAGCAGACACAATCCCTGATTTCAGATGCAGCCAGGTAGAGACAAGAGAAAAGACATAGATTGCCTGAAGCTTTCTTAAAGGACAGAGAGTTCCTCCTCTTCTGTGACAGTCATTCTGCTATATTTCCTCCTCCTTTTTTTTCTTAAGCATTTTATTTATTTATTCATGAGAGACACAGAGAGAGGCAGAGACATAAGCAGTGGGAGAAACAGGCTCCCTCCTGGGAGCCTGATGTAGGACTCAATCCCAGGACCCCAGGATCATGACCTGAGCCAAAGTCAGACAGTCAATCGCTGACTGAGCCCTACCTCCTCCCTTTTTGAGGGATTAATTGATCCTAATAGGAAGGTTGTTATTGCCCTTGCATGTATTACAAAGGAAATAAAAAGTTGAGAAGGATTATTCTAAAATAAGATTAATTTATTTATTCATTGAATGTTTATTAAGAGCCTTCTGCACTCAAAGTATGACTTAGAGACCATAGATGAACTAAAGCTGGATTGGATCATCAGTGAACTATGTTTTGGAGTGATAAGTAAAGGAAGTACATACAGTAGGTACTTTCAGGTATCACAAAAGGGAGAAAGAGTTTATTTCTGGCAAAAATCCAGGAAGAATTCATGATGGAGATAGAGCATTATTTGATCCTGAAAGCATTGATAGCATGTAGATAGAGACTTATGAGGGGGGAAGTCAAGCCAGAGGCACAGAAGAGAAATAGTAAATAAGTCAGCTTGTAGCACTGGAAAAGTATCAAATGAGGGGGAGGATGAGAAGTAGCTGTTAGGATGAATGAAGTCAGGATCATGAGAGCTCTCATTCATGAGAGGATCATGAATGTTAAACCACAGAGGCTGGACTTGATTCTGTGGTCATTGGGTGCCATGAAAGGTTTTTAAACAAGAAACTAGAATAAGGTCATCATAAAAATTAACCAGATATGTGTACAGTAGACTGAATGAGGGAAAAGATGGACAGAGGGAAGGCAGGAATAGTGATAAGGATTAGACTAATTTGGTGATTGTGGGAATGAAGAGGAAGAAACCTATACAAAGACATGATTGATGAGTGGGCAGCTGGTGGACAGTGGGGTCAAAGGAAGACAAAGGATGGAGGCTTCTGAAATCTGGCCACTTTTAACTTGCTAAATGGGAATTAGAGAAGGAGCGGATTTTGGAGGGAAAATCACATATCCCATCTCAGCATATATTTTGAGTTTGAGAGGCCAGGAAGATATACAAGTAGGAAAGATACACACACTGGTTCAAATTAGGCAACTATAGACCTGGGACTGAATGGCCATGGGCAGCAGCAACAACCAAAAAATATATGAAATTGGAAGAATTTATGTAAATGGCGAGTTTTGAGGGTAGTGCAAGATGCGGTTTGGCAAAGAACAGGCATGACCAGATGCCGAGGGATGTTTAAGGAGAAATGGTAGCCTTTAAGGAAATGAACTGAACGTGTGTGTTTCATGCATAGACCAAAGTTTGGAGGGAAGTACTGCACTGGAGAAAGGAAGCGCTATCGCTTGTGCAATGTCCACCCCTGCCGCCCGGACACACCAACCTTCCGGCAGATGCAGTGCAGTGAGTTTGACACCGTCCCCTACAAGAACGCCTTCTACCGCTGGTTTCCAGTTTTTAATCCAGGTAAGGAGCTATGACAGAAGATTCCAGATCTCGGGCTATAGCCATGATGGGAGAGCGTTTCCATGGCAAAGTGTCTGGGATCCCCTGCAAAGTTCCACAGGGAGAGAATAGCTCCAGGAGGAGTTTTATATTTAAAAAGTGGAAACATTGGCCTGGTTACGTTGATCAGTACATGTTGAAGGCTGAATATACCCAACTTGGTGCTGAGTTCTGTGGAAAGTAAAAGAGAAGCTTATCCAACATGATGGCTCACTTCAGATGTGCTGAGGTGCAGCTAAGCCATCGGGGGGCAACCAGGAATTCATACCAGATTACTCATGAAAGTGCTCCTTGATGAGCGTGTGACTCACTTTAATTTTGGCAGAAGTTCAGAGAAAGTCATTGTAGGTTTGGAGTAAGTTCACAGAAGACTGCTGAGGAAGTGTTGATGATTGTTAAGCAAGAGAAGTCTTTCTACTGGAAGAAGGGAAAAGGAAGGCATCCAAAATAAAACCAGTCATTCCAGTAGACAGGACAAAAGCACAAGATAAAACAGGATGGTAGAAATAAATACCTTCATCAGAAATAAATGAGAGCCAGCTCTGGGCCAGATGACAATATTTTGTATGTACAGGACAGGATAAGAAGGGTCAAAAGTAAAATCAAGCATCTATAGGATACACATCAGGGATGGGGACATAACTGAGCTGGGGAATGGGGTAGCAGCTTTGACGATGCTTCCCCTGTATCAACACCAGCTACACCTGCTCTCCTGAACATGAAGAATCATCATTAACCATTAGGTACAGATTAGCACCAAAAAATATCTGTGCAATGTGTTATTATTCAAGTAGAGCATGAAAGAGAAAAGATTTTCCTGAGCTAAGGAGATTTGAGTCAAGGCAGTAAAGAATGAGCAAATTTTTCCTGATGTTTTTTAAGTTTCTGAAATTTCTGTGTGATAGACCACAAGAGGAAATGTGGAAATGAAAATTACACGTTTGGGCATTTAAAGAATGATTCAGTCAGTTGCTTTTGAAAGCAAGACCCAATAGGGTTTTGCCATTTGGGATCTCTGAAATACCCCGATGGCTTTTGATTGGCATGGGCAGTGTCTGTTCCTTGCCCCACCCTGTTGAGCATCATTCATGTTCTATGAGAGTGAGTCATTTGGTTATTGGGGCAATTCAGCCTCCTAATTCAGATGTTTGAGTAAAGCAGAACTCATGTATACATTCATGTGGACACACACACACACGAACTAATGATGAAAGGTATATCTAGTTAGTACTACCTATTTTTATATTTTGGACAGTCTCTCTTTTGTTGGAACTATTTGGAACAGTAGTACTAGAGACCCCAAATGAGCAACCTTTGTGTGGGGGTCCAGCAACCTTCTAGGGGTTCACCTCCTGCCTGATGCAGGGTGGGGTTTGTGTGTGCTGAGCTCTGAAAGCTCGAGTAGCTGGACTTAGAATAAGGAGATCTGATTTAGCTTGGCTCTTTATTTATTTACAAAACATTTGCCATATGCCTGCATATTGCATAGCAAAGCAATAGGTGCTAAAGAAATGAGTCTAAAAGTGGACATAAATTTCACTCACTTTAGAGTGATTGTTTTGCGTCTGTCAGTGATACTGAGTCTGTGTAACCCGTAGGAGGGAATTAGGCTGGGTGCCATCTGCTGAACTATCTACCTGGACTGTAAGCCTCCATCCTCTATCCTGGTGGCTTTCTTGCAGGTTCCTATGCCATTATTGAAGCATAGTGACTTATCTGCTCATCCAAGTAGCTACTACCTTGACCAACACACTGATTTATTTTCCTTCTTAAACTCCAACATACAGAGTTGTTTGCCTAGTTGATGGGCACCCGTGGTGGCAAGAAGTAGGTCGTTCATGTCAACAGCTATGTAGGGAGCACTTATTCTGTGCTGGGCATTGGGCGCTTTACCCTCCCAGCCTTACCATTAGAAGTCACCAGAGAATAAAGTAAATGTACAGCAAAGTTTCCAACCTATTCAGTGGACAGTGGTAAGTGTCTTGGTGAGTGATCTTTGGCAGATGTGCTAACTAGCCAATGACAGAAGAAGAATCGTAGATTTAAGCATTTGCAATAAGGATAGAAACTCCATCAAGTCTTGTCGCTTTTAAACTGTGTTCCATGGAATCCCTGGGCTTGCAAAAATGCTTGATTCTAATTTCATTTTTCAAAAAAATTTTTTAAACTAGTCTTTAAAAGTGCAATAAAGAACAGTGCTTACACTCAAAAATATTATACATCAAGTTTTAACATACCAAAGACCACCAATGTGCTAATTCACACAGTCAAATTAATTTGGGTCTGTGCAGACCATAGAATAAAAGTCTCCCATCAACCAGTGTATTTGAGAAATATCCTAAGATTACAGGTTGAATTGCTTTAAACTGTTCTTATTTGCAACTGTTTGCCAAAATGCGTCAAGATTTTTCGATACTGTGCAACCAAAAAAACCGCACAGAAAAGAATTAGATGCTGCAGCCAGCCTAAGTCTGTAACTGCCATCCATAAGTTTGATTTCAGAATTTCTGTTCATCTTAATAATTTCTTTAGATCCCACTGACTTATTTTTAACCATCATATACTTGAACTTACAAAATTTTGCTTAATAAAATCCTGACTTGATCTGCTTTATTTGCAAGATCTTGTTTGAAAGAAGAAAAATGATTCTTCTGCCTTCAAGATTTGAAAACTACTAGTCTAGATCAACTTCCTTTTTCCAAGATAGACATTTTCTTTTCCAGCACTCCTGACAGCAAAAATTATCCAAACTCTACTCGACGACTTTCATGTAGGCATCAGTGTGAAGAGCTGCAATGATCAACTGCATTTTCTGAAGCCAGTATCTATATAAGAATGCTACTCTATATTTTCTCACTTTTCCCCTCCGTATCTTTGGAGATAAAGAAGCTTAGTCTCAGAGCAGACAATAACTTATTCGAGGTCCAGGATTTTTTACCTTGGGGCTGGAATTGAAGCATAAATCTGACTAAGAAGCTGGTAGATAGATAAATGATAGATATAAATAGAGATTTAAACCAATTTATGTAGATTTTGGGGACTTTATTAGCCTGTGTTAATAGGCTTTATTATGTGTTTATATCCTGCATCTTCTATGAGGACATGACCAGAGCCTGATCTCAAATGTCATCGCTTTCCTGGAATCTCTCTCTTTTTTAGATTTTCATCTCTCTCAGAACACCCGATTTAGCCCAAATTCATTTAGGCGAATTTTTTAGTTGTTGCTTCCAGATATTTAAGCCCTGTTAATCCTTGACGCCAGTGAGGTTTCCAGCAAATGTGGAGTCAGACCACATCTGCTTCTCCTGGAATAGGATCCTTCAGGAACATTCAATTCCTTTCAGGAATTAGGGTTAGGGTTCCCTGGGAAACAGACCCTGAGCTGGGCCCTAGCAGGCAGGGAGTGGAAGAAGAGCAGGAGGAGGGAGGAGGGGGTGTGCAGGGCGATAGCTGAGCTGCAGAGCACTCTCAGCAAAGGCTCCACCCCACCCCCCAGGGAGCCCTGCCGCTAGCACAGACATTCAGAGTTGCCAGGTTGAAGTGGGAGAGCCAGTACTTTATGGACCACCTGGACTGGCCACTGGCTGTGGTCTGCCTAGGGAAGGAGTGGGTGTCCTTGGGTCTGAAGCCAAGGTGACAGTTGGGGGCTAGTGCTGGCAGTGCTCCCAGGTGCCGGAGAGCCAAGTCCCACACCTGGGGGCCTGGATGGTGCACACAGAGCTTACTACAGGAATATTTGAGGTTGTGATAAAAACAGCCTTTAAAGAGAATGTAAGTGTGCGGAGCAACCTGGGCGATCTTCTAGCCAGGAGCCTCTCAATTGACAGGTTAGGAATCTGTGGCTTCAAGAGAGGAAATGACTGAATAATAAGGATGATGTTTGCAGACACCCCAAAGCCAGTCCTGACCCTCTTCACCTTCACTTTCCTCTACAATAACAGAAGGAAAAATGAAAAGACCCAGGAACTCATATTCCTGGGAGATCCAATTCTGACCAAAGAGATATAAAGATGGAGGAGGCCCCACGGGTAAGGCTTTTGGGAAGATTTTTGGGGTTTTGTTTTTTGTTTTTTGTTTTTTTGGCGGGGGAGTTGTTTATTTGTTTTTTGGAGAGGGAAAGAGAGTTAGGGGGCGGGGCAGGGGGAGAGAGAGAATCCTAAGTAGGCTTCACGCCCAGTGCACGCACAGAGCCCTGACATCATGATCTGAGCACACATCAAGAGTCTGATGCTTAACTGGCTGAGCCACCCAGGTGCCTCTAGAAGGGTTTTTAACGGGTACCAACAGAACTGGCCCTTACCCCCCTTGCCTTTCTGACATTGACCCTCCCCGCTCCTGCTTCCCAGGGTGGGGAGATGGGAGGGTGGGGGCTTCAGGGTGGGAGGGGGTGGGGGTTGGGGGCAGGGGAGGGGTACAGCAGTCACACTGCAGCCAGGAAGCTGACCACCCATGCTGACTGGCTGAGCTGGAAGACTGGAAGGAGGATAGCTTTAAACTCCTACCTCTGAATTTCCTATCCTGTGGGCAAAACAAAGTCCTGTCTATTTCAGACAAGGAAGCAATATTTTCTGCTATTTGCCGTGAAACTAATTCCTAACTGATAATGGGAATTTAGGATTTTGACTCAATTTTTCCAGACCTAAGAGATGTAGAGAATTTAAGCGGCTTGCTCAAACTCAGACTATAGAGTAGAGCCAGGAGGAATTAGCCCAGGCCTGACTGCAGCCTAAATGCTAACCAGTAAAACAGAGACTGGGCTAAGCTTGTGTCCTTAACAACAATGCATTGCATTTTGTATTTTACCTAAGATGATGTTCCTATTTTTAAAAAGATAATCTCATTGTCAAGGAATTCTAGTGAGGGGAGAAGAGCCCCAACAACTGTTTGCATTATGACAAATGCTAGCTTTGTTAAACTGATCTGTCCTGAATCTTTGAAAATCAATTTTTTCTAAACATTTA